GGGCTGTGTGTGTTCGTCCCGGGCCGGGCGCGCCGCGGTTGTTCTGCCCAACTAGGCGTTTCTCCGCATTCTTCGAGCCTTCGTTCTTTCTCGTGCAAATGCCTTTAAGGGCTTCAGCTTACAATTATCAAGTTCATCCTCGATCCCGTTGGAGTATTGAGCCTTTTGCTGTGTGAGAAACCTAGAATCGTTTCTAAAGCCGCCCCAGGCTGGCAGTAGATTGCTGGTTGTTATGGCTCTAATCGAGTAAAGGTTTACTGGTGACATAAGTTCCCCCCCGATATTTTTTTTTTCTTGTCGGCAGGGTAAAGACAGTGTAAAATGCTATTTCCTTAATGTCTTGATTTTTGGGTCGCTTTTATAATTAAATTAAGAAAGGATTAAGAGAGCAATTATTGCTATTCACGGCCTACGATACTTCCTATGAGCCGCCGTAAAGGAATAAGTGATTGAATCAGCGAGTGCATTTAGTTTTTTTCTAACTGGCCAACACCGATAGAAATCTGCTTTTTTGCCTTGCCCACAATCGGCTGTCCCCCGTTCTCCATCTTCACTAGTCAATTCCGCATTAGATTATAGTGCGGTTTAGAGCTCTTGGCTTTTCCATTAGTTTTCAGAAGTCGGTTGTCTAAAACTGCACACAAAAGCTAGCAGATTTGCAATTTTGATTTTTTCTTTCTCTACAATCATGTTTTTGAGAACTTTTTATTGTACTCGTTATCATAGCTGTTTCAAGGTAAGGAGAGGTGTGTAATCGATCACTTATATTTAGATATTTATTTTTATTTCTAATCACAATTTATTTTTTTTCAGCGTTCTGCAAAGCAGGAAACCGAGTTACCATCATTGCCGACTTTGTTACCACAAGAACAAAACGTTTGTCTTCAAGCTCAGCAACCACCTCTTCCTTACCCATTTACGATTTCCTGCGAACCAAATCATATGTTTACGTGTCAACAATAATAGCTTGTCAAGTGCTTGCTATATTCAATCCGACAAGTTTCAACGAGGTACAGCATTTTCTGTTGCTTTCCAGTAATTTTCAGTTTATTCGGCATGTTTCGCTTCCATTTGTTAACATAAGCTTTTTTTCTCAAATTTCATTATTTATTGTGAATTTGTAGATACATTGTTTTTTTTTTGGTCAAATTATCGCTGACAAAGTTATCAATAAAGTTTTTCAAGATTATGTAACAACAACAATAACAATGTAACAACAAAAACATATGTGTTAAGTAGCAAATTCCATTATGTCTCTCTCCTTGCGCGAATCATCAAAATGTTTTTGTGTTTCTGGCTCGTTCGAATTGTAGGAGTGGTGATGATGGGATTGATGAACATCACTATTTTCCATTGTTTTATTTTCCTTTTCCTTCGCCGATCTAACAAAAAATAACTTCATCGTAAAAAAAGACAATTACTTTAGAGATAAAGAACCCTCACCCTTTTCGCAAAATCCGAACAAACTTTCCTCTCAGCTGTACATACACCACGTTTGATGGTTAAACAGCTATGCTTAACCTCTATAATATCGTCCACCTCGAGTACAACACCTGATGACTTCTCGTTATTAATACAAGCCACTTAGAAACTTCGTCAATCTTCAATATACATTCATAGCTCGTAGGCTCGCGAAACAAGAGACGGGAGCAGCAAATGGTTGCGATAAAAGTGAACACAAATTACAAGGCACAACGTGTGTGAAGCCTTTCACGGTCTGAGACGCGAGGCAGAGGTGACTAGACCCAGTGACAATTCTCGCAAAGAATAATAACCTCTCGTGGACAACTTTCCACAGTGTGAATTGGTCAAAATAAGGATAAAGGATAAAGCATTTGCCGTTGATCAATCCCTTTTTGGGATGCGGCACGCATTCTACTTCCATTTGTACATTCGTAGTGGCGTTTGAATGCGATGTGGCCTATACAATGACTTGCGGGGGCCAGCCGATGTCAAGTCAGTGTTTTTATCCTCCCAGACAAGTCTGGTACCAATTAACCGACCCCGGAGGGATGGAAGGCTTGGTTGGCCCGGGCGACTCACGACCCAGGATTTGATCCCGGACCGCTCGCGTGGTGACGTGCCACTTGCCACCTGACAACCCCTTCACGCCCAACGACAAATTGGTGTCAGTGTTTATGCATAAAAGAGGCGCATTACGTCGTACCTCGTCATTTCTCATGTAAGTCGCTGGTCATCCACAGGTGGGCACTATGGCAATCGATTCCAGAATAAGAGCCGATAGGAAATCCTCGGAGATGTGAGTGACTCTTGCTTCATAGCTATGGCGGACAACGGGTCTGCAGAAAAACAATGAAATTTTGACTTTCCGGTAGTAAAATGAGAATATTTTGAGTTTTAGTATGTCAATCAATCTTGCCGCTGACGCTCTTAATGTCTAATCTAAAATTTTCAAAACGAGGCCACATCAAACAAACCGAAACACTGCCTGCGTGACTAGCATATCTAAGTGAAAACGTTCTGATCGTGCCCCAATAACACGAGGCAATAGAGGTCCACAACGGCGTGACAGCTCACATAGAGATTATCGCCCGCACCGCTAACCCTAGAAAATGTTAAATCCAATTACAGATCGAGACTCTCAGTTCAATTCGTGGCTATGCTTACTTTCGTCGATATTTGCCCACGGTCATTTTCGCAAGAAATTCGCACGACCTAAGAATATTGCCTCCAATGAGGTGATACGGAAGGGTAATATGTCGTTTCTCTCGACTGGCCTTAAAATAAGTCCGATTCAAAGGATCCAAACATGTGATAACTGTATATACAGAAGGTCATTATCTTGGGGGCATGCCATCTTGAAGGCAGTCACAAAGTTCCTACTATGACGGACCGAAAATTTTTAAACTTTGCACTTTGCTAACTTGTGCAGAAGCTTGTAGTTCTCCAAGCTTATAGTCCTTCCGTAAGCCTAGTCAACGTGTGGTAATTACCCCTAAAATTGTTGTCCACATTATTTTGTGGCGGCGGTGCCTAGTTTCTTCCGTCTTCTATCGCTATCTAATTTTGCACTTAATGACTCCTACAACTAGTAGAAATATCCTGGAATTTTCACTTACCTTCAATCCACATTTGGGATTCGTGAGAATCATGTTCTTCGCTTCTTCAAAATCCAGTATTTCTTTCTGGAATTGAAATATACCTTCTTTGATCCTTTCATAGTAGTAAGGGGGGAGGGGGACAGAGAATTTCATTCAACATCATTCATGAACGGAATGGAGGTAAAGTTTGAGAACTTATCCAAATATATGGAAATATTCGAACGGATTTCCATGAACGTAAAACTTACAACTCTTGACAAGTTCATTCCTCTCGCTTTACGTCGATACTCCTTCCGCGGATGTGCTTCTGTCGTCTAAAAATGGATCGTAACACAGCATTGTAGAAGGCAGTCGTGCGAAGCAATATCTCAGTGTCTATGAGAACGTAAAAAGCGAAGCACCGAAACAAGCCATGCCCCCTCTTCGATTAATATTGTTCTGGGTTTTCGTTGCGTTCCCGTTTCTTTTTGTCTCTCTTTTTCGGTTTCTTTTCATATGAAACGTCATTCTGCTCTGTGACTTGCTCCAATTCTTCGTTGAGGTCACTCGATATTTCCTGAAACGGTGAGAAGAAATGCATAATTTCAACACTAATCAACCTATCAATCCTAAAGTGAAGTATAGAAGAAACAGTCGACGTTGTAACGGGTAAGAACTTTGAAGGCTGTCTGGGATCGAATTTGCCTTCAAGAATTCGAGTGAACGTGTATACATCCCTACTCACTTTTTGATCTCTATCACCAGAGGTCAATGAATAAGCATTCCGCCTCTCCTCCCCGTTATTGAACAGTTAAGGGAATCGTTTGTGCATCTCAATGGATGGTATATTTTGAATAGTTTTGTTGCGAAACTGCCACTCATGCTATCCTTGGAAGACAATAAAGAGCGCCATTTTCGCCAGGGTTAAAGGTTAAAGCTTTTGCTGCAGATCTCGTTTTGGGATGCAATGCGCATTCTACTTCCCTTTTTACATTCGCAGGGACGTTTGAATGCGATGTTGGCCCTATATAATGATGTGCGAAACTCAGGCGATGTACGGGGAGTCAGGTTTTGTTTTATTCCTCCCAAGACAAGACTGTAGTAAATCTAACGCCATCACCGGAGGGATGGAATGGAATGATTGGTTGGCCACAGAAGAAACGTCAGCAGGATTCGATCCCCCACAGCCCTGCCGCGTGGTACGGCGTGCTTAGTGACTGCCTGCCTAACTACTATCCATCTTCCGTGCCACTTATGCCACGCATATGTTTGGTATTTTCTAACCGTAAGCGAACCTCAGAATTAGCCGAGGAGGGCAAGCAAGAGGAGAGGGTGGAGTAAGAAAAGGTGGCATAGAAGCGGTTATCGCACAGTTCCTACCTTCTGCTTTTGCTTCACTGGCACCTCCCCCCCTTTTTTTTTCCGTAAGTTGATATCGTAAAGTGATATCCCTACACCACTTCCGCTCCAGAAAAGGTTACTCTGGGTTAAAGAGTCACTAAAGTAGCGCTACCCATTTCCACTACCGGGATTGATTGGTGATCACTTACTTGCTTTACTGCTTGAGCTTATCAGTCAAGTCCAAAAGGATAATTCAACCCTCAATTGCTTGTCCATGACCGCTACAAAAATCATAACTCACAAGCTTCACTTTTTTCGGCTTCAAAACAGATCCGTCTTCTTGTTCGTGCGGTCTCTTCCGTCCCATCCTGAAGGCTGGGTTGCTAAATATTGCTGCAGTACACTCTTAGAAAAGTGGTTAAACAGGAACGGATAACAACCTTACTTAACACATAACATGTCTAATTACAATGGCTTCATTTTTAATTGCAAAAATCACAGAGCAGTCAATATAACTGCACAAAATTGAGAACAGTGGATATGTACAGGAGGCAGTATTATAACAGACACTTCAACACAACTATGCAGTGAATTGATAGTATGTATAGCAACAACAAGTTACAGTTTTAACGGAATATTGGGCCACAACGGTGGCCGTTTCCTAGCATATTCTTGTTCAAAGCGCATATCCATCAGCGTTTCCATAGCCAGAATCTGTTCCGCTTTCGATCCATACAATTTACGGGCGTTATCGCGTCTTTCCTTCGTTCGCGTTTCTTCGTCCGGGACAGCGAAAGTGCGCTTTTCAACGCCGTACACGCCGACTAAAAGGAAATTATGGCAGATTTTGTCGTATTTCAGTGAAACTATGATGCTTTTGATTCTCAACTTCTTTCCCATTTGGCAGGCCCCTCTACTTGAGGACTACACCCAATAGACCTTACAAAACAAGCAAGCCCTTCGAAAAATAAGTAATTAAACTGACTTACTTTTATCGGCTAGGACGTATTCATCGTCATCCAAATGAATCCAGTGCGCTGTGCCCTCACCACGTTCCTTTGCTAAACGTTGCTCCTTTTCGGTTCGCTCAGCATCGCCTGCAGTTACTGACTTGATGGTAGAATTCGCACGTGAAAGCAGTGTGAAGTAGTTAAGGATAAGAAGAAGATCAAGCAAACGGATCAAATTGTTCTGAAAGAGTTCAAATAATATTCTTCATCAATGAAATAGACATACGGGTCTTTCTATGTTCGATCGTCTTCTTGAAGAAAGCCACCATTTCGTCAGACATCTCTTCCACCTCCATGGATACTGAAGCATTTGTTTCAAAATTGTGAAACTGGAGCACAAAAGAACTACCTGACTCTTCGTATGCCGCATTCAGAACGACTCTCTCCTTCTTGACCTTTTCTTTGTTCGACGACTTCTTCGCGTATTCCCGATTAGAACTTGAATTATCGTTGGGTCGTGAGGCTGAACAAAAAAAAGATTAACAAATCCTCATCTATCCATGTGTTTAGCTTTTCTTTTTCTCGGTTTTACCCGCATTGCATTGGACTCTCACGGTAAGATTGGCAACTACCACGGTGATTACATTCCTGAACAGGGTTACATGAATGGTGACCAACTAGAACGCCTTCAAAACGGCTGCTTCATGCAGAAACGTATCTATCTCATATCAGGGTTGTTTCGCTGGGACCTAGTGAGAGCGACTTTTCGTCGGTATCGCAGCGCGAAAACATCTTTATCGATGGTAAACCTTGAGCTCCACGCATTAACTCTAATGGTGGACCAGAGGTCCCTGCAGCGGGAAAATTCGCAAGCAAAAAGGAAAGGAGAAAAATCTGGTGAACCATACCCCTAGCCTCATAGCCGTGCATTAGTCAAGGGATGTGGTACGGGTTCCAAATAAAATGGATTATGCATCTAAGGTAGTTCCTGCTAGAAGCATTAAAACCATTGCCTATTGTAAGAGAATATAATTCACGCGATAATAAAAAGCACTGCACCTGGCTTTCTGCGTGAATGCCTTTTCCTTTCACCAGCTATGCGACAAGAAACTGCAGCCATTCGCGCATGATCGGCTCGCCACTTCTCAACGGCATGATAGTGCGCCCAGAACGATGAAAAACATGCTTCTCTACACCAGGCCTGGTTTTGCCAAACTTCCATTGCCTAAAGATTTTGTTTTTGTATACAAAGAACAAGTGCTCATATAAAGTTGTTCGAGTGGAAAATTTCTGGAAGGCAAGATGAAGAACCCCACACGGAATAAGGCGATAGGAGGCAGTACATGAGAAGAAAATCACTACTCGGGAATCATCCACGTGATACGTTTTGCTCATTATTAATTTCACTCGCTGTCTTAAAACGCCTTGAGGTGATACCAAAGTCTCAAGTAAAGCAGTTGAGCAATACTCATTCTTCACAAGATTCGGGGATAAAGATGAAGCGTCAGCGGGTAAAACAGCCCTTTTACGACCGACGCACTTTCCACTTTCGTTTTGAATCGACGATGTTCAACTCGATGATCTCACCTCCCTAGATCAATTTGGTTCTAGCTGACAGATTCAAAGGCAATAAAAATTTGGTTAGCCTAAGTGAGCTGACTAAGGAATGTGCGTGTAGGATCATTATCTCTAATCCAGGGTGAGATATCTTCGCGGATTCCTTGATAGTGAGGTGGTCTTGGACCCTCAAGGAGACGGGGTCCTATTGAAGAAGAGGCTGTGTATTTTTGAGAAGGAGGTAGGACTTAGGTAGTGTTGTGGTGGGAGTAACGGGACTGCAGAAACTGAGAAGGTTCATAGGTTTTGTAAGTCCTGGAATGTTAACACGTTGACGACCGTGTGGTATGATGTCATACCACACTTTCGCATGGGCAGACTAGTTTTCCTTAATTTATTTGGTGTTTTCTCCTGTTCCACAACGGTCCATGTACATTATTGAT